CACAAAAATAAACTATCACGACACAAAACCAAGGGTGAAAAGATCACATGAACTCACCTTCAAACAGATTGACTTGCATGATGGGATGGTTACACTCACATCCGGGGAACACATCGGAGCAAACAAGGAACAGAGGAAGAACCGCACGTTTTCATTACAACCGGTGTCCACTAATGGTTTGTAACTCATGATCTGGAGAAGAAAAGTATTCCAATGACATTGTGAAACTCGAAGGATTCATGTATTCATCACCTCTTCGTCGGCTTCGTCCTGACTTTTATGCCCCAGGAAACCCGGCATGCGAGTAACATTGTACTTCAGGTTCTGGCACAAAGTGATGGTTATCGGCTCGCATGTGTTCGTCCCTTCGTTGCTTCCATATCCGGATAAACCAGTCACACTTCCGCAAAGTATTCCCCAAATCAAAACACAACACACCTTCATCTCAGGAAAATAAAATCACATTTGTCCGCCTACTTAATCTGAAACGCAGTTGCTTCGAGACTTGAGCCTGCTCACAAACTTCTCTGGCGTTAGTATCAACGCCGCCATGTTTTATCGCTGGTGCGCTCTATTCATCAAAGTTGTACTTCTCATCTTGACTGCGGCACTATGGAATATATTAATTTTGAGATCCATGTCTGGAAATGCTTCCCAAAAGTCTCTCCTCCAGCATGTATGCAGTAATGTCCAACCTTAAAGCAGAAAATTTACAGAAAATAAGAAATATCACTGCACCTGCTATATGGAGCTGTTCATTAGGACTGTACACTGATCAGCAAATCATTCATAGCAATGATATGATGAGGTCCTGCATGAAATATGCAACATGCTAAATTTATTGCTCTTTTCTTTTAAAAACTAGACGTTGAAAATTTTAAAGAAGTGATATGAAAGCCCTAATAATTTTTCAAGCATTTGGTTCAAAGAATTTTAATGGCCCAAAAAACTTAAAACATATTTATATACACTATATGAGTGAAGAGTCATCAGCAGCAGAAAAGTTTAAATTTATCAATTTGAGCCAAGCACAGCATGCTGGAGAAAACCAGTATGCATACACAGTATACATACTAATTTCCAAGACTTTTTAATTTCAATTTAATTTTTACAGAGGCTTACATTTTTATTTGCAAATGACATAATTTAAAACGCGGAAATTGAAGAGTTGATATATTATACATATAACAAGAATAATTGAACTGAACTCTCATTTGAGCATCATAATTTCACATTTTTACTGTGTACAATATTTGATAGTTTAGTTGGTTTAAAGATGGCCCAGAAATTTTGCTGCTACCTTGTTCAACCCATTCAAGACTCAAATAAACAAAGCAAAGACATTTTGTAATTTTTTGTAAATACGGCTCTATATTATATTCATGATTTCATTTTATTTCTGTTATAATACTTCAAAATTTTATAGTTACTTATGCATATACAGAAGCTTGTAGATTATGCAAGTTGTAAAAAAGGCCAGAGAAGGTAATATTTCTGTAATTTATTTTGGCACCTTTTTATCATGCCCCATATTCGAATTATTACAGAAAGGATTATATTTGAAAATAACAATTATAAAATGAATCATAAAAAACTGCCAGATACTGTATATCCTACCTAGATACAGTATACTCAGCAGTTTTCCTTCAGAGAACAATAGGAAGACAAAAGGGGATGACTAAACAAATTTCCAAAGTCGAAAAAGCAGGAAATCATTTCCCCCAGTATAGCACCAGCATGGAAATTCCCGCTTTCCAAAAAAATCAGAATCGCCATCATGACGAAACCGGAATCCAGTTCTCAAATATACAAGAGGGATGTATATAAACTGTATAGTGAATTCTGTCTGCATGTCTTCCATTCTTCAAGATTTTCATAGTCGCAAAATAATTCTCAAGTTTGACGCAAGTACCGATATATTTATATATATATATATATCTCGCGAGCCTGCGCAGCAGAGAAAAAGTGCTGACTCGTGCAGAAAAAAAGGAAATATTTTTTTCGTATACATAGAGAAGGTAGTGAAATATAAATACTAAAAAAGAGCGTAATAATGGCGAAGTCCATGCGTGGCGAAATTGCATAACTGCCCATTACTATTACAATCACCAAAGAAGTCTGGATCGCGGTGGAGGAGGAAAAGTGATACCATTGCGTGATGATGATGACTATTTTTTCATCTTAAACCAGGATGAAGAGGGAAATTGCTCATTATTTTTCACCAGCAATTATATATACTGTAATATATAGAAGAGCTTCTCAATTTGGACACTTCCTTATTTGATGGGTAACTTTGAATAGCTCCATTGGGTCTTTCTCACAAAGTTACTGATGATGCTTTCATGTTGAAACTGTTCAAGATAAACTGTTGGCTTTATTTGATTTCTCATCAAAGATTCTCTCTAATTTGTTCACTCAACTAAACCTCATACAGAAACAAGCTGAAGACCTTGTGCTTTAAATTAATTTTTACATATATATTTTTTACCAATGTCAGGGAATGAATGGGTGTATGCATACATGTCAGATGTCCAGTTGTAACTCATGTTGTATTGTATTTTCTTTTATTTTTTGTCATAAATTTGTGCTTTCCTGCTCTGAAGTAATTAAATGTCATTGAGTGGATTTGGGTTGGGTGGGAAGGGGGTTTGGTTGTGGAAATCTTGATTGAACCTTGTGAACGCTGAAAAGCGGCAAATAAAGTGTTCTGTTCATTCATTCATTGAAACTGTGTACAGCATGTAGTCACTGCTAAATTTTTCTCAGTTGTCACACCCCTCTTTTTGAATTTTAGAAATGTATGCACCATCACCTTCATTGAAGGCAGCATGAAGTTTTCTGATTAAGGTATTAAATGGTCCTGCACAGCATTCACCCCTTGAAACAGTTCTGGAGAAAAGCAGCTCAATTTATTGAAGGATTTTTCAAGTTTCCATTCAAATGGCTCTTGATTGTGTCCACACTGTAGCCCTTGGTACCATTAAACACATACTATTTAATAAGAAAGTGAACAAGCTATTATTTGGTTCATTGCTGTAGCTCAATTTGCCACTGAGCAGTTGTAAGTAGAAAGATTGCCCATTCATTAGTCCACCCTGTCACAGAGATATGAGGAAAAATTACAAGAGTAAATAAATGGTACAACAGACTCAGTTGGGCTGCAACTGGGGTGCTTGAGAACACCCTATTCTAATATGTTATATTTTCACAAGAATATTTTGTTGACAATAAGTTCACCAAGTACAGTTACTGTTTAGAGTTTCAAAGATTTGGGAAAATCAAGGACCAAAGGTCCATTTCAGTTCATTGTGAGAGCAGGGGTGGAACCCAATTCTCATAGAAATAACCAAGGACAAGTTTTGGCAATTGCCAAAACTCATTCTCTTTTATGGCTCAGTCTTTTAAAATCGCTTTTTGGCATTCTTCTCTTTGAAGATTAAGTTTCTGGAGAAGCTTGAGATGAAGAATTGCTTGGTTTGTTCAGAACAACTCACTAAATCTGTGACACACCCTGTATATACATGGGATAGGATGCTGTACAGTTGTTTGGCTCAACTTAATGTGTTGGTACTGTATATATGCATATAAAACTATATGCATAATTGTCTGTACAGTATACAGAAACTAGCATCTATACATAGGCAGACAATAAAGTGCTGTTTTAGGTTGGTTGTACATTAATGCACAACAAACCTGATTTAGTGCCAAGTTCTTCAGTTGAACCAGCATGCATCATATGAAGTGCAAGCATTAATGCACAACACACCTGGAATACAGTACCAAGCAGCACTCCAAATTAAACCAGCATATACAGCACAGATAACATATACTCGCACAAATTGAGTAACTTACTTTAGTTTGATCCTAATTACACTACACCTTCATAGATCTGCTCAAACTGTAATTAAGTTGGCAAACTGAATCTGTTTTTAGGTTGAGTGTACAAGCACAAACACTGAGATCACACTTTTAACCCCTTTTATTTACCTATTCTTGTCTTCTTCCTTTGATTTCTTTTTCAACTCAGACCAACTAAATTCCCTGAATGTATATACCCTCACACTATGGGCCATGCAACCTGAATGTAACTCACTCCCACTTGATGGTTAATAATTCTAACTTTAAGATATGAAGCTATTTTCAAGGGCAATTATTATTGTCTGTGCTGACTTTAATGAAATTATCCTCAAGAAACTCAATTAATAGAGGAGCCTTTGTTGTAAAATTACTAAAGAAATAAAATAGGCATATCCCCTTGCATTAGTGAAAACATACTTAGAAGCAAAAAATAAACAATCCTGACTGCAAATAAGATTTTTTTCCAAAAAGATCACAGATAAAAATAAAAATGCCTGCATCATCAGCCATCATGCACATTTCCCAAAGCATGATCAATGTGCTTTTGAAGGGCAATCAATATTCTCTGAATTCAATACAGTATAATATCTCCAGCAAAGGGTGTATATACATGCAACTCATCAAAGCCAAGAGCAATATGCATGCTGACAGCCAAAACAAAAACAAGGAATAATTTCCAATATCCAGCAGTGAGGATACAATTACAGCTGTGCTATGATGAGGGATAACTTCCAAGAAATGAGGGTCTGAGGCAGGATGATATGAGACAGTCAGCCAGCATCAGCAGTCATCAGTCTGCCAGGTATCATCCTCCTCCATATAATGCAATAACCATCAGCATCATACTGAAAGGTTCTCCTGCTGGAAGCCAGCAGCAACAGGCAGAAGAACTTCTTGGTCCTCCTGCAGGTAACAGAAAAGACTTGGCATTTGCTTTCACCTTTGTACATAAGAAGTGCGGTGGGGAAGAGGCAAAGCAGGATAAAAAAAAAAGAGAAGAGGAAAGGAACAAAAGAAGAAGAAGAAGAAGAAGCCAGACTTGGAGTTATGAAGAAAAAGGCGCCCTCTCAGCACAGAGAGAGAGAGAGAGACTCCTTCCCGCCCCCAACAGCAAGCACGCCTTCAGTCGTCACTGAGCCGGGCTCACGTTCACACATTAAAATTGCGTAATTCCAAATAAGTGATTCTTATACAGTTTTTCAAATTTTTTCTATTCAGCAATTGAGTGCCGCAAACTTTCCCCAGGGAGTGACAAATAATTATATTTATTATTGGTAGAAAGTGCAGTATGCTCAACTTATGCAACCCAAATTTTACATATAGGTGCCTTGGTTTACTTACATATTTGTCCATTCCAATATAAATAAGTTCTTGAGAAAAAAAATCCCCATTCACAGTGAGGAAAATTGAAGCTGAGTTTCAAGAATGTTCATTTCTCACATTAAAAAAAAGCATTCAATCAAAAAATGTGTTCAATATCAAAAATCAAAACAAAAGGTGGTGTTACAGGTGAAAAAATTTGATTCATCCCATGATTAGGAAGTTCATCACACAAAAGTTCAATAAATCAAAAAGTTTGAAGCTGC